CTTACTTAAAGAAGGGCACTCAAGTCTTTTCCAATAAGTTAATAATATAATAACAGGTCTGGCCGAATCAAGGGTTTAACTTTTTTCCCTAATTCGAACCAGCCTTTCTTCTCTCTCTTCTCTCTTTTCTTCTTTCCTCTCCTACTTCTTGCTGTCTACTTTACTCTACAGTCAACGAACAAGACAGAATTCTATGGCAGGTCAAACTTCAACATATATAAAGTAATGTTTCTACTGATATCAACTGACCATAGGTAGAAAAGTTAAAAAGTATGTTTGGTTTCCCAATCTATAAAATAATTTTGACCAGTATACTTGAGTAAAGAAACTTACACTGATGATAAGTAATTTATTTGAGAAGCTACTTTTTTTATAAGTAACTTATCATACACCTACACCAAATGCCACCTAAATGACTTGACTAGTATAAGTTTCCTTTTGTAAGTATTTTTAGTAATTTTTTAATAAAAGTTTAGTATTTTTTGTACAATATGTACTAGAGGTTGGCATGTATGGACAAACTTAGAAGTTCAAATAAAGTAACAGGAGTACATGACAGCTAAAGAAGGAAGGAAAGATATATTAGGGGAGAGTTTCTTCTCTCGATGAGGGGGAGAGCATGGGGGAGAAAATTGCATTTATGGCCAATCACTTCCTATTTTGAGATAGTATTAAGAGTGTTCACCTTAAGTTTAATTAGGTTTGCCTTTTGGCCCATAGTTTACAGTTATACCATATCATCATCATCATCATCTGAGCCTTGTCCCAACATTCCTCTACATGAGTCCACTCCATTCTATTCAGTGCCATAAACAATGTCTAGAGAACTAGACCAGACCAGCTGCTCCGACTGGTAAAAGCATGAACCAATTCACTAGCCAATTTGGCTAGGCTCTAAAAATCAGTGGTAACAAAAAATGGTTATAACTGGCTAACCAGCCATTCCAACTAGGGAATTGGAACCGGTCCCAGTTTTATAAACTTTATTATTTTTTTTAAATTTCCAAAGACCATAACTTTGTTCTTGATTATTCGATTGAAATGATCTTTTTTTTTTATTTTGGGTAGCTTTTTGCGATCTCTGTGTTCCAAGGCACCTTTGCCCTTGGCCCACTATTATTACCAAAAAATGCCTTTTTGGCCTCAAATCTAACTTTTTAGCATAAAAAGTTAAAACTAATATAAAAATTATATGTTATATGCAGAATATAACTCCACCAGTGTGAGCTTGTCTTACACTGCCAGTCCCAAGCCCAGATAAAGGAGGAGGGTTTTGTCAGGTTGGCAGTTGGCACTAAAACTTTTGCCAAACTCATGAATATGCAGAATATAATTATAGATTTTAAATATATGTATGTAATTAATATTATTATGTGTATGTTATATAATTATGCATATTACATATATATTATATATCTATATGATGATGTGTCATGGGTTGACGTAGTCGACCCAGGCAGTTGAACCGGTGACCCGCGACCAAGAGGGGAAAATAGTTCAGCCTCTGGGTCAGTTATCTAAATATTGGCCATAAATGGTTTTGGGTTTCTAGTGGAAAACCTTCTCTCATTTTTTTTCCTTACAATACTTTTCTAAAGCTTAGACTAAAATGTTTCGGTTTTGTTGGGAAAAGTTTTATTTCAAGTAAGATGAGTGCATGATTCACATGAATGCATAGATCAGCCAATGGCATGGTTAATTCTCTTGCAAGACAAGGGGTGAACAGATATCAAATATTTTGGGGAACCATCTAAGGGATGTAATGGTAACGGGGGGGCTGCAATGTATTGACTGTTACAAGATAATAAATCAGTTTCTGGATTATCCATAAAACTGTTCTCTCTGGAAGACCAGCTGGATTGACCTGATCCTACCTTTTTTCCTACTTAAATTTGGTATAGATTTTGAGGCATTGCTTTGAAATTTTAACAAATAACAATATATTATATCCTAGAGATGTCAGAAGGGTATGATACCAGAAGAACTTTGACCAATCAGACCCCCCTCCCCAGTGAATTTTGATGAATACCAGCTGATTGGTTACCACTTTTATGATATCAATTGATTGGTTATCTAATCAGTATTTTAGGCACCATGCCTTTTTTGTAATCATAGTCAGACTATATCAATATAAGAAATCTTATTTCATATATGATTTACATTTTGTGTTTTTTTTCTTGAAAGTGGGGTGGGTGGTCGGGAAGAGGATATGCAACCAGGTCATTGGAAAATTATTAGTGATGTTGAAGGGAGGATTTGATCCTTTGTACTGGGTTCAAACTAAGTTTTAAGTAGCCTAGCTCGACTACATTTCAAGTTACATGGGCCAGACTGGACTGGGCTTCTAGCCTACGGAATATATATATATAATTTCAGGCTGGGCAAATAATGATCACCCCTACTTGAGACTGAAAAATCAAGGTCACAGGTCAGGTCAGATTAGGATTGGGTATGGCTCAGATCTGACCCATCTTGAGCCTGGTCTTGATGTTAGGGCTTCTCTTCTTCTGGGGTAACATGCATCTCTTGTATCTCAAGCTTTATGTCTCCATTCATCCATGTCTTGTGTTCCATTCTACAAAATACATATGCAGAAGTTCATAAGTGGCCCTTGATGCACAAATTTTGTCCTTTTCAGTATCTTACCTTTCACTGTTGTCGCTTCTTTCATGAAAATTCTATATTATGGATCTCTGAGTCCCCCCCCCCAAAAAAAAAAAAAAAAAAAACAAATCTGAGTTGCGACATTCTTTTTTTTTTGTTTATGAGTGTTTCTCAGATCATTTCTTACTACTTCAACCCATGTCCTTTTTGGTCTACCTTTAGGCCTTCAACTTGCAACAGGTCACTTCTTACAAGTGCTGACCAAACCATCTTTGTCTACTTTCTCACATTTTATCACCTATTGGAGAGACTGCTGGGTTCCTTCAAATGATTTAATTTCTGACCCTATTCTTTCTTGTTTTCCCACTTATCCATCTCAGCATATACATTTCTGCAACACTCATTTTCATGGTTCAAAGTATCGATACGATACGCCCCGTATCGTATCTTTTAAAAATGATACAGTCCAAAACGCCTGTTTCCAGGTGTTTCGGACCCCCAATTTTTTTTAATAATAAAAAACAACCTATAAGCTTCCCAAAAAACTAAAAAAGAAATAAGTGTTTTGGCCGTTTCTAAGTACCAATATGATACGGCCGAAACGTGTATCGTATCGATACTTTGAACCTTGCTCATTTTATGGAATGTTGTTTCTTGACTGCCCAACACTCTATTCCATACAGCACAGCTGGCCTTACAACCGTTTTACAGAAATTTTCTTTTAATTTAAGTGGTATTCACCTATCACGTGATAAAACTCTGGATGCAACCCTCTGTTTTTCCCATCTTGCTCTAGTTTTATGTGCACCATCCTTCTCAATCTTTCCCTTGTTATGAATTATTGAACCAAGGTACCAGAAAGTCACATTGAATTATCTCTTGGTCTCCAATCCTAAGTATACCCTAATTTGCATTCCTATTTGTTATTCAATTTAAATATCATATATTCTGTTTCAGTCCTACTTAAATGATGCTCAGATATATCTTGTAATTTTTTCTGAAGTAGAGGTTTATATTAGTTTTATACTGACATGTACGCACATTTTTATTTTGACCAATTTGTTTTACCTTTGTTTCCTATTTGTTTAACATGTTTAAATAAATAAATACAGGCCAGAACCTATACCATTTCCATGCCATACAGAATCCAGCGTATAGAGGAATTTGTGAAACAACTTGAGTCAGGAGATTTGAAACTCCGTGTCAGGGTACTAGAGGTACATCACCTATTTAACATTACTGTGGTATTATTTTAACATTTAAGGTGATATTTTTAGTTACAGCTAGAAGTTCTAGCTGAAGAACAAGAATGAAGATCTGTGGTCATTTGCTTTAGTTTTCACTGATTATGATAGAATGCAGTGATGTCTGTATACATAATCCCCTTTATGTAATTAATAGCTCATCCTTCTAACAATCGGATAGAGAATAGATACCAAATCATCGAAAGTGCAAAATGGACTACTTTATTCATGGGAAATGTCCATCAGTTCAAATAATAATAGCCATTGTTGGACAAGTAGCATCTGAAAGTCATATATGCTTGTATGCAGAACGTAACTGTATCTTTATTAAACTGGAATTCCAACAAGTTTTCTTATGTTTCATTCAACAGTCTGAAAGAGCTGCTCGGAAAGCAACCATACTTCAAATGGCTACCATCTATACAGTTTTGGGTGGAACCTTGCTAAATGTTGGGATCACATTCAGCAGCCAAGGTGGCCAAGTTATCGCAAATGGATCTTTCCTCGGTGCTGGTTAGTATCTATTTTGAATCTCTATTAAACTTTAATTAATTTCTTTTCCCAGGCAATACTTCATGACTAAATGCAATTATTCACATTCTCAGATGACTCATTGTAATAAATCATGCCAAAAAAAAAAAAAAAAAAACTGCAGGTGTTTTCTTGACATTATTGCTTAGGTCCATGCAAAGGGTGAGGAAGCTCGATAAATTCGAGAAGATGATCTAGTTCCAAAGCAACCAATAGTTTTTCCTTTATTCTAAATCTCAATCTCTCAATTTCAATTGTTAAGTTGTACAATTTTTTATGTGCAAATGCATGGCACAACCCAGGTACAGAGCAGGATGCTTACAAGTTATTGCCATGTAAGTGCACCACAATTAAATGGGGAACCATTTCCCCGCCACCCGAATTTTAGAAACATAATCAATGATTCAATACAGAAATTAAAGAAATGTAAAGAAAAATATCTGAATAAATTTTCAGGTTTGTTACATCAATCATCAATGAACTGACTCTGCATGCATGGTTTTCCTCTTGATTAATACGGTAACCAATCAATATTTTAAGCGTTATCTCATGATGCCCACTATTCGTAGATACATACTTGTATGTAAATGTAAATAAATCAACCTGACATCTGTGAGAGATGAACATCTTTTAGTACTCAATGGAGGGGACTAATTGTCTGGGTAGTAACCAGCAATTGAAAAGGAACCTGATCGAGTGATAACGCCCGTAGGGGTGTCAATTGGACTGGATTTGGTCAAATCCGATTCAGTCCAATGTGATTCCATTATAAATGCACCTGGTGCAATCCAATCCAATGAATGTTTTGGAGCAGTTTGGATTGGTCCAATTCAATGTCTGGACCGTCCAATCTGTTCATTTGATTTAGATTGGTTTCAACCCAAATCCTGTCCATTGACACAAATATTCCTATCTCATATCAATGGACTAGATATTGTCTTAATCCAACCCAATCCAATATAAATTTGTTACGGGCGGACCAGGTCTAATCTAATCTAATAAATATTTTGGATTGGATTGGTCCAATCCAATATGTCTTGTTTGTCCGTCCAATCCATCCAAATTGATTTTGGACTGGTAGGTCTAATCTAATCTAATAAATATTTTGGATTGGATTGGTCCAATCCAATATGTCTTGTTTGTTCGTCCAATCCATCCAAATTGATTTTGGACTGGACGGAGTCCAATCCAAAACCGGTCCATTGACAACCTTCGATAACGGTAGTAAGAGTAAGAACCATTGATGGTGCTCATTAGGCCTGGCAAAAAGTTGACCCAACCCGTGAATCCAACCCAACCCAACCTGAAAAAACAGGGATAGGGTCTCATATTTAGCTACCTGAATGCAAAAATGACCTGACCTGACCCAAAAAAAAACAGGGTTGGGTTGGGTCATGGATCAACCCGCTGACCCGATTGTCAAGTCTAATTGAGATTATTTTATGCATTGTTAGAAGTTTTCACTCTTTAATTTTTTTCTATTTAGTCTTTACTTATTGTTTACTCTTTAAATTGTTAAGTGATCAAGTTTTTTATTTTATATTTGGAACTTTAAGGTTAATTTTTTTTAATTTTGACATTTTTCATGTAATTTTTCTTTATTTTTTTAAAAATCAATTTTTTTTTTTGGGATGACCTGAATTGACCCATGGGTCAATCCTAACCCGAACATTTAAGATTAGGGTCTAGCTTTTTGACAACCCAACCCGAAATACCTTGACCCAACCCAATTGCCAGGTCGGGAGCCCATGGGTCATGTAGTACAGGGGTAATTGATTTGGTGAATTTCGTTATACACATATAGTAATATAATTAAGATCTCAATACTCAAAAAAAGTCATATGCCTCATGTTGTATCTTGTATTGGTGGTTATTGCTATTGATATCAGCGGTTATCTTTGAATTTGAAATCCAACTCATAAAAGTGGACCAAGTTTGTATGCCTGTGACCTGTCTGTTCTGGGCCAAAATCTTTTACATGAATAAGGTGGGAAAAAGATCGGAGAGATTCCTTCCAAGTAGTTTGTAGCTTAGAAAGAGGTCTTTAAGCTCCTTCACCCTCTATTAACGGAAATATTTTCTTAACCCAAAAGAACTTGTCACATGCAAGGTAGACCTATGATACCTGTGCCTGAATTAAATGGATTACATCATAGTTTTAGAAAACGACTCAAAAACGGAGCCTTTCTGGTCATTGGTTTCTGGGTTGATGGTTTGATCGTTCGGTTTGAACGAATGGCTTGTTTTGATAATAAAAATTAAAAAAAATTAAAAATAGAAAACGATAAAAAACTGTTAAACAGATTGACGGTTCAACCACCTGAATCAACAAGCCATTAACTAATTCAGTACTTTCTCGCCAAGAGACTGGATTTGAGGTAAAACGAAACAGATTGACTAAATGATTCCATGGTTTAAATAGTGGCTTAAAAAAATAGTACCTAAGAGTAAAGACATGACCAAGCTGATTTTGGGTGTAGTCTAAGTGGGGTCCATCTAATGATGGGTCCTTGTCATCTGAATATACCTACCTCAATGTATAAGTTACGAGGACCCCAGACCAGACTGCAACTTGTAGTCTTGTGTCCTCATGCCCAAGCCTATCCCTTACTGTCATTGGTTTGACATCAGGCATGTAGAGAATATTAAACTTCACACTGTTTAGGCTGATAGTGTTAACAAATGAATAGTAGGGAGGCACGTTCTTTCCACAATCTAACTATGGCTACCCACTTGTTTGCTTAGCAGCAAATCATCACCTCCACCCCACCCATAAAGGAGGCCCGTGATGTATAATTGGAGCACTGCTATCTGTGTACACCAGTGTACATCGTTTTCGTATTCACAAACCAAGACTCAGCCGGCCCTAAAATGCTCTCAACACAGACAAGACGACGACAATTAATTGTGAGGGGTCCAGTTTGGTGTGAGCAATTTTAGAAGTAAAAAAGGTTTCCTAAATAGGCCCAATAATGTTCTTTCCTACGTATGCCCCACCATTTCCGTCTGTCATGCGCAGAGGCAATTTCGCCGATAACCCAACCCATCCATCAGCTAAAATGCTAAATTAAGGTTCTGAATCGGAACCAAAATCCCTAAGTTGGAATAAGAATTCATTTCCCAAGGTTGGGGAAGGAATGGTCATTCCCTCAAATGGGGGAATGCCACTCCATCAAGAATGGAAATGGGATTCTGGTTTCACTTAAATAGTTGGATACGGAATGGGCTATTCCGGCTCCGATTTCAGACCCTTATTCTCATGACCAAACGTGTCCTAAGTCCTTTGATATGATAACTGCATGCAAAAGAAAAAATAATAATAATAATTACATACCCATCTATGTCTCTTTTACAAAGGAATTTGGCTTCCGCCAGTGCAAAGCTCACTCAAACAGCCTTGTATTGGGAATATCTCCATAATGTTTTTAAAAACGACCTGGAATTGAAATCGTTCTGGTCATTGATTTTTGGGTCAACAGTTTGACTGTTTGATTTGAACAGACAGTCGGTTCTGATAAAAAATAAAAAACAGCTAAAAATCATTGAATAAATTGATAGTTCGACCGCTTGAGTCAATGGATTATTAACCAATTCAACGAATTTTTTCCAGGAATCAGGTTTGTGATAAAATAAAACCGGTTGTCTAAATGATTTCTGGGCCGAATGATCCGACCGTCCAAATCAACAGCCATTCAAAAACATATGTTTTATTTCATGAAAAGAGATTCTTAATGCAAGATTACAAAGTCATACTTCACTGAACCCAGTTTTCCCTCTCTTCAGATAATCAAACCCAAGCATTCATTTGTCTTGTTTTTCCTATACCGTGATGATAATTTGTTCAAGTGGCTATACATGGTTTTCTTTCTTTGGACTTTGATGAATTTATTTAATTAGATCAACTACGATATCTAATTAAACAATGATATCACCATATTCCCAGAGAAATTTGCATGAAGTTTTAGGGTTATTAAAAGTGTAGCGCAAAAATGATGGGAGAACCGTTTATTATACTACAAATTTGTCTCTCTTGAGAAACTAAGAATGTAAGGCCTACTCCTCACATGACGAGAGAGACAATGAGACTTATTGACATCCTTACAGGTTTGTTCATGTCTTTTCATTCATAACATGAGAGGTGTTTCCCTGTTTGATAATTAAAGGACCTCTGCATCCGAGACATGTCGGTGTCCTTATAGTATAATAATACATAGAACATTCCTCATGTGTGGTGATTGGGACATCTGGATTGCCACAATTAAACTCATGGCTCTAGCATTCCTCAAAACTTAAAAGGAACCCAGAACAGAATACATCAAACCCTCATATGACATCACCATCCATCCACAATATCTATAAACTACCGATCATGTTTAAATTTGTTAATGATGTGAGAGGATCAGAAGACTTCCCCCCTATTCATTCAAGCTTTTCTTTTCATAAAAAGAAAAAGAAAAGGAAATTTGTCGTTTGCGCAAGCAAATCAGTATCATTAACAAAGCATGTTTTGTTTGGTTTCCCAATTTTAGATTTAAATAACCCTAGGAAAGTCATCTCATCTACCATGAACACTTGTATCAACAATTTTAAATGGTTTCAGACTTTTTGGTCCAAAAAATACTTCAAAACACCATCAAAAATATTGGGTTTCTTTCAATCCTTTTGTTTCTCTTGTTTTTAATAAGCACGTGCTTAATTTAATTATTAAACCTTTTATTATTTATATATATATATATAAGTGATGAGCCGGCCTCACCGCAAAACAACCCATATCAACTTGCTTGTAACACCAAGAACAGTCATCAATACATATATAGATTTGTTCAATAAACTTTACTTAATAAAATGAAACTTTGTTTTCTCTTGGCACAAGCTACATACGCTTGTTTATTGAAATACTGAGAACCTCATTTAGAGGCTTGAGAGAGATAAATCAACAATGCCGCCATCAGCACCGGGAAGACAGAGAACACAGTTAGTGGTGGAGGCTGTGGCATGCCCGGAGACATCGCTAATGGCAGTAAAAGAAGAAATGCAGCCACAATCACCATCGCCACAATCGAACCAACACTCCATTTGTAGTGAACCATCTTCTTCACCTGAGACCTGAGAGATTGACCAATAAATACGGTTAATTAATTTCAACTTAAGGTCCGTTTGATTTACAGTTGGAATCAGAATCGAAATTAAAATGATATATTCCTATAGTCTATTTGTTTCTGACAGGAATAAAAATAAAAATTGGAATCAATAAGAATGACATTTCATTCCTAAAGGAGGGGAAGGGAATGACCATTCTCTCTAATGGGAGAAATGCTATTTCAACAAGAACGAGAATGGGATTCTGATTCCGCCCAACCAGTCCGATTCCAATTCTAAACACTTATTCCCTTAAACCAAACGGGGCCTTAATCTCTTTCCATTTTGGTCAAATGTCTTCATGTTTGAAATTTGAAAACTAATAACTGAACTGAAAA